TCATTTTCACATAAAACCGGATCAAAAACATCTGAGATTAAAGAAATGACATTGCCTCGTTTGTTTACAGACCGAATGCATAATGTAACTCCCCCCACCGTCACTACTGACACCACTCTGTCACTCACTGGTTCTATGAATGACGACACCACCCAAACACACGCTGTGACTACCCCCACTCAAACACACACTGTGACTACCCCCACCCAAACACACACTGTGACTACCCCCACTGACACCACCCAAACACACACTGTGTCTACCCCCACTGACACCACCCAAACACACACTGTGACTATCCCCACCCAAACACACACTGTTAGTGATAATTTCCACACTGATACCATCCAGGCTACCAGTTTCTACTCCACAGACATGACCACGCCTCAAAACACCTTAAGTCCAATTACAGGTGATAAAAGAAAATACTTGTTTGCTTATTATTTTTTCAGTTTATTAGCCATTCCCATATTTATTCTCCCATGTATTTGTATTCATAGTCGTAGACAGAAAAAAAATGTCAACGTTACACTTTCTCCAAATTATGATCAAGTTGAGAGTGATGATAGTGATGAGGAATTCACTAGAGAAAACCCGTGCATGCCAAAAGATGACTTTAAAATGACTAATTTTAATCAATGTTAGGCTTGCATGTTTAACATTCCACTTCCTTTACATGTTACATATTATCCCCCCCCCCCAAATTTCTTTGTAAACAATTTCTCTATATCTTATAATTGATACTATAAACTTCACAAGTGTTGACGATTTATAACACACATGAGTTTTTATTGCATGTTAGATTTTTTTTTTGTTTGGAATGAATTTTTGACCCTTAATTCCTGTGTTTTCTTTATTCTGTGTGTTTTATTTGTAAGTAAACGCATGATGTGATGGCGATTCAAGTTACAAGTTTATGTAAGTAGATGCATGATAGCGTTTAACCTTGTAACATATATATGCATTGATACATAAAATTTTATTAAAGAAAAAGAGGATGCATATTTTATTTGAAGGTTAAAATAAAATCTTTTATTTTCTATGGGTAAAAGGAGAATCATTCATCTTAAAAACTGTTAAAAAAAAGTTTTCATAAAATTTCAGTATCAGAGATTTTTAAAATTATATCTGAAGATTAAAGTGAGAGAAAATGAATGAATTGTGTTAATTAAATGTTTAGACTTGTGTATAATTTCTTTCTTTTTTTTGTGAAATTTCAGTATCGGATGCTTTCGGCGTTGGCATTGCGGCCCTATGCCTATGCCTCTTGTTTGCCATCATTTGGATAACGCGGTTAGTCATGAAACGCCTAGGATCCCAATGCAGGCCTCCTGTGGGAAGGCAGCCAGCTCGCCCCACGGGCAGACAACTCCGTAGGAGATGTGATCCCGATCCAGAGGCCGCAGACATTGAAGACATCGAAGAGGAAAGACGCTATGAGTTACGCCCCAGGGATAAGTAAATGATATGTAGTAATTATCATTTATGAGAGTATTCTTTAGGGGAAATACATATCAGTTTCACTTTTCTGCTAACAGATTTCACAAAACCGAATTAAATTTGTAAATTAATGATGGTTAAATTTTGTTTATACTCTTACTGATGTATCACTTATTTCATAGCTTTTAATAAGATGTTAATTTTTTTTTTTTTTTTTTTTTTTTTTGCATTTGACAGCTGAGGTCACTACTGCGCAACAATGGGACTGGTCCAGAAAGGACAGTGATTTTTATTCTTCGATATCCATGAACAGCTAAAGTCACTGCGCAATAAAAATTAAAGTGGTCCAGGAAGGACATTGTAAATTTTATTCTTCGATATCCATATTAGTGTACTCAAAAATAAAGTAAATACTGTTTGTATCTTTTTTTTTTCATTTATTAGGAGACTAAAATAAGATGTGTGAAGTAGACCAAGGAGAACTTGAATGTATTTTAAAATGCTTACACGTGTAAATCTACCAACATTTGATAACCTGTTATCAGTTTCGGACCACTGAGTCGTAAAGGTTATTATTAATGTCAAATTTTACTTTATAGGATATACCCAGGTGATGATCTGTGTACTTTAAACTATCATAGATACGTGACACAGAACTGTGTTTTATTGCTTTCTCTCATAAAAGGGTAAATCTGATCAAGGAGTAAAAAAAAGCGGAATGATCCTCAGTGCGTTTCTTCATAATAATGTTATTTCTTAGGAATGAAGGGATCCATAACAACTTTTTTTTACTCCTTATGTCTTTTTTATGTAAACCCTTGTGTTGACGTCATTCCATTTCCCCTTCCATTGTGTCTGTTCCCCATGGGTAGACTGTAGCGTGACATCTGTCCGTGACGTAGAGAGTCGTTCTCCCCATTCATATTACTGTTGTAGAACTTAGGTCATGGTCTATGAATAACAAAAGACCCATTGTTTACCCCCGGTGTATATCTGAGAGTCTAATTGTATCAAGTCAGTCAAGGTCATCGTTTACTACATATGCACTGAAAATCGGTCAAGGTCATTCAAACAATAGATCCATTGTTCGTTCTAACAAAAGACCCATTGTTTACCCCCGGTGTATAGCCGCTAATACTACTGTTAGGGTGGGACTCTGTTGAATATATAGGGAAAATGCATTATTAAATTTTTTTTCTAATCCAGGGCAAACAAACTGAATGCACAGTTATGATGAGTAAGGGTGCCTCTTCCTATATTGTGAATTTCATGGAAAAGGAAAAAAAACTTCTCTCGCAAATACTTTAAAAGGTTTTAAAAGGATTGTTCCTCCTTCTGCTGAGAATTCAACTTTGAGAAGCTGAAGCAATCGAGACACACTCAGAGTGTTGGTAACAATATTTGTGAATAAGTACTTGATGTTCGTTCGTTGAATGAGATGAAATTAGTGAACACCTTTGAAGATATACATCAAAAGTACGGCAAGTGATTATTTTTTTTTATTACAATGTATATAGACATTTTTTTCAAAAAGTTCACATACCTGCAGGACAACCGTCCTTTCCAGCCCGCGTTGGAAATGTGCCTCGGTGCTGCCGTCAATGATTTCGGGAAGGCATTCGAGTAGAGGGCCTCCTTTAAGAACACTCATGCCTGTGCAGGTAGTTACAATAATTCTTTAAAAACTGAACTTAGCAACTTGTTTTCACGAAATGACAAGTTAAAAAATAATTCATAACCCATCAATTACCAGGCCAGCGTGAAAGATGTGGTGCCTAGCTAAGGCCGCTTCTTCAAGCTGGACTTCGATATTCCCAGCATTCACACGGAGGAGGCGTTGTTTCACTTCCTCCAGGAAAGCATACAAAAATTCTCGTCTTGGGCCGCCTAGATCGACGGCCGCTTCACAGTGGAACGTAACCTGCAGCGGCAGACGAATGTTTTCCAACGTGGAAAAATCATCCATGGTATTGTTGTACAGATTTTAATCTGCTAATAAATATGTGCAGTCTCCCCTCTGTAAAGACATTTCGTCTGTTATATCCAGATCTCGTCCTTGGAGGAAGTGTTCCGAGTATTTCCGCAGAACATCTCTAGGGTCTGTTTATGCGGCTTTATAGAGAGAAAAGAGTTATAAATACAAACTAGAAATTTTTGTTGCAACAGTAACAAATAGGTCTTCCGTTACAAGTGTATCAAGGCAATTCGGTTCCCCATATAATAATAAAATAAATCCTGAATCATATGCGTTTATTATTTTTTTTATTTATTTAAATGATTTAATATCAATATATGTAATGATGGTCATGGTCATACTATTATTCAGAATTTTAGAGAATTGTGGTCTATAAGATAGTTGACTTTTTCAATGTATTCAAGCGTGAAAGAACAGACAGTATCATCATCATGGATGAAATATAGAACACCAGAAAGATTCTTGGTTGAGGAATGCAAGAAATATGGCGCCCTTTTCAAAGATCTTAAGAAACATTTAAGAGTTGTGCATAATGTTGCTGCATACAATGCTCCGTAAGATGCTTAAGTTATTACTTTTGTCCCCCACTTATGCAAAATATTAAAAAAAACGCAATAACTTAAGATTTTAAAAACTGGTTTTCAATGGAAATGGAAAAATTCAATTAATTTAACCTAATTTTAGTCAAATCTCACACCTTAAAAATTATCTAGGTCTCACAAAAACAGGTCGGAAGATCACGAGTGAAATGCGGGATCTACATTGCTATCAATAATTACGTCTCTCACCCCCCCCCCCTCCTCAAATATTTGTCTTCTGTCAATGTAAAATGTCAAAGTGTACATTGCATGAGGGCCAGCCTATACACACATATATAAACATTTCTTTTTTTTTCACTTAAACCTATCAGATCGACGTATATTGGATAATCGTACAGAAATTCTTTAAAAAAAAAAACAAAAAAAAACATGTTTCGTTTGTTTTATTATATTTTGTATACGATTATAAATTTCTCCTTTGGATGTGAACTGACCCCTACTTGCGAATACCCTTTCACGGGGTGGGTCAGATGTTCAGGAGAAACTATCTGTGTTTTAAATCTTGAATATGATCAAGTAGAAGTGGATTGCTTCATCAAGGAAATAAAACCCTCGGATATCGTCATTAAACGCTTATTTATCGATGGGGAGTGTGAACCAATCATCAATTATGAACGTTTTTGTAATTCATATTTCATACAGGAGATCATCATGGAAAATGGCCAGGGTCAAGTTCGATGTCGAGGTAAAATAAAACTTTTCTTTCTCTCATTTCTCTCTCTCTCTCTTTTAATCACCCCCTTCTCGTGATTCGTTTACTCTCCCATGGGAAAAAAGCGACACGGCTTTGAAGTTAAAAGTTGACGTTGCTAAAAATCGCTGATTTTGTCACTCATGGCTTGTTCTTTCAAGGGGGAAGACGTGATTTGTCCAGGTACATGACTAAAACAAATTTAGGAAGATTTTTTGCGATAACGGAGTTACATTCCAGTATCTTAAAGTGATATTTGAATTTATTATTTCTTTTATTTATAGAGGTTACTACAATGGCGAACGACAACACCTGTAAGTACATCTTTGTATCATAATGATTTAAACTGATTTTTGTTCTCTTTCTTGTTTTGTTTGTTTGTTTGTGTTTTGGAGTTGTTTTGTTTGTTGTTTGGGGGGGGGGGGGTTGAACTTTTTTTATGGTATTTGTTCTTTTTCCTTTTTTTGTTGATCTCTAGATGCGAGTTTGCTTCCAAACAACACCAGTGACTTTATTTCCACGTCACCATCATCAGTCGTAACAAATATTCCAAACATTCAAACTTCATTTTCACATAAAACCGGATCAAAAACATCTGAGATTAAAGAAATGACATTGCCTCGTTTGTTTACAGACCGAATGCATAATGTAACTCCCCCCACCGTCACTACTGACACCACTGACACTACTCTGTCACTCACTGGTTCTATGAATGACGACACCGCCCAAACACACACTGTGACTACCCCCACCCAAACACACACTGTGACTACCCCTACCCAAACACACGCTGTGACTACCCCCACTCAAACACACACTGTGACTACCCCCACCCAAACACACACTGTGACTACCCCCACTGACACCACCCAAACACACACTGTGTCTACCCCCACTGACACCACCCAAACACAAACTGTGTCTACCCCCACTGACACCACCCAAACACACACTGTGTCTACCCCCACTGACACCACCCAAACACACACTGTGTCTACCCCCACTGACACCACCCAAACACACACTGTGACTATCCCCACCCAAACACACACTGTTAGTGATAATTTCCACACTGATACCATCCAGGCTACCAGTTTCTACTCCACAGACATGACCACGCCTCAAAACACCTTAAGTCCAATTACAGGTGATAAAAGAAAATACTTGTTTGCTTATTATTTTTTCAGTTTATTAGCCATTCCCATATTTATTCTCCCATGTATTTGTATTCATAGTCGTAGACAGAAAAAAAATGTCAACGTTACACTTTCTCCAAATTATGATCAAGTTGAGAGTGATGATAGTGATGAGGAATTCACTAGAGAAAACCCGTGCATGCCAAAAGATGACTTTAAAATGACTAATTTTAATCAATACTAGGCTTGCATGTTTAACATTCCACTTCCTTTACATGTTGCATATTATCCCCCCCCCCCCCAAATTTCTTTGTAAACAATATCTCTATATCTTATAATTGATACTATAAACTTCACAAGTGTTGACGATTTATAACACACATGAGTTTTTATTGCATGTTAGATTTTTTTTGTTTGGAATGAATTTTTGACCCTTAATTCCTGTGTTTTCTTTATTCTGTGTGTTTTATTGGTAAGTAAACGCATGATGTGATGGCGATTCAAGTTACAAGTTTATGTAAGTAGATGCATGATAGCGTTTAACCTTGTAACATATATATGCATTGATACATAAAATTTTATTAAAGAAAAAGAGGATGCATATTTTATTTGAAGGTTAAAATAAAATCTTTTATTTTCTATGGGTAAAAGGAGAATCATTCATCTTAAAAACTGTTAAAATAAAGTTTTTCATAAAATTTCAGTATCAGAGATTTTTAAAATTATATCTGAAGATTAAAGTGAGAGAAAATGAATGAATTGTGTTAATTAAATGTTTAGACTTGTGTATAATTTCTTTCTTTTTTTTTGTGAAATTTCAGTATCGGATGCTTTCGGCGTTGGCATTGCGGCCCTATGCCTATGCCTCTTGTTTGCCATCATTTGGATAACGCGGTTAGTCATGAAACGCCTAGGATTCCAATGCAGGCCTCCTGTGGGAAGGCAGCCAGCTCGCCCCACGGGCAGACAACTCCGTAGGAGATGTGATCCCGATCCAGAGGCCGCAGACATTGAAGACATCGAAGAGGAAAGACGCTATGAGTTACGCCCCAGGGATAAGTAAATGATATGTAGTAATTATCATTTATGAGAGTATTCTTTAGGGGAAATACATATCAGTTTCACTTTTCTGCTAACAGATTTCACAAAACCGAATTAAATTTGTAAATTAATGATGGTTAAATTTTGTTTATACTCTTACTGATGTATCACTTATTTCATAGCTTTTAATAAGATGTTAATTTTTTTTTTTTTTTTTTTTTTTTTTTTTTGCATTTGACAGCTGAGGTCACTACTGCGCAACAATGGGACTGGTCCAGAAAGGACAGTGATTTTTATTCTTCGATATCCATGAACAGCTAAAGTCACTGCGCAATAAAAATTAAAGTGGTCCAGGAAGGACATTGTAAATTTTATTCTTCGATATCCATATTAGTGTACTCAAAAATAAAGTAAATACTATTTGTATTTTTTTTTTCATTTATTAGGAGATTAAAATAAGATGTGTGAAGTAGACCAAGGAGAACTTGAATGTATTTTAAAATGCTTACACGTGTAAATCTACCAACATTTGATAACCTGTTATCAGTTTCGGACCACTGAGTCGTAAAGGTTATTATTAATGTCAAATTTTACTTTATAGGATATACCCAGGTGATGATCTGTGTACTTTAAACTATCACAGATACGTGACACAGAACTGTGTTTTATTGCTTTCTCTCATAAAAGGGTAAATCTGATCAAGGAGTAAAAAAAAGCGGAATGATCCTCAGTGCGTTTCTTCATAATAATGTTATTTCTTAGGAATGAAGGGATCCATAACAACTTTTTTTTACTCCTTATGTCTTTTTTATGTAAACCCTTGTGTTGACGTCATTCCATTTCCCCTTCCATTGTGTCTGTTCCCCATGGGTAGACTGTAGCGTGACATCTGTCCGTGACGTAGAGAGTCGTTCTCCCCATTCATATTACTGTTGTAGAACTTAGGTCATGGTCTATGAATAACAAAAGACCCATTGTTTACCCCCGGTGTATATCTGAGAGTCTAATTGTATCAAGTCAGTCAAGGTCATCGTTTACTACATATGCACTGAAAATCGGTCAAGGTCATTCAAACAATAGATCCATTGTTCGTTCTAACAAAAGACCCATTGTTTACCCCCGGTGTATAGCCGCTAATACTACTGTTAGGGTGGGACTCTGTTGAATATATAGGGAAAATGCATTATTAAATTTTTTTTCTAATCCAGGGCAAACAAACTGAATGCACAGTTATGATGAGTAAGGGTGCCTCTTCCTATATTGTGAATTTCATGGAAAAGGAAAAAAAACTTCTCTCGCAAATACTTTAAAAAGTTTTAAAAGGATTGTTCCTCTTTCTGCTGAGAATTCAACTTTGAGAAGCTGAAGCAATCGAGACACACTCAGAGTGTTGGTAACAATATTTGTGAATAAGTACTTGATGTTCGTTCGTTGAATGAGATGAAATTAGTGAACACCTTTGAAGATATACATCAAAAGTACGGCAAGTGATTATTTTTTTTATTACAATGTATATAGACATTTTTTTCAAGAAGTTCACATACCTGCAGGACAACCGTCCTTTCCAGCCCGCGTTGGAAATGTGCCTCGGTGCTGCCGTCAATGATTTCGGGAAGGCATTCGAGTAGAGGGCCTCCTTTAAGAACACTCATGCCTGTGCAGGTAGTTACAATAATTCTTTAAAAACTGAACTTAGCAACTTGTTTTCACGAAATGACAAGTTAAAAAATAATTCATAACCCATCAATTACCAGGCCAGCGTGAAAGAGCTGGACTTCGATATTCCCAGCATTCACACGGAGGAGGCGTTGTTTCACTTCCTCCAGGAAAGCATACAAAAATTCTCGTCTTGGGCCGCCTAGATCGACGGCCGCTTCACAGTGGAACGTAACCTGCAGCGGCAGACGAATGTTTTCCAACGTGGAAAAATCATCCATGGTATTGTTGTACAGATTTTAATCTGCTAATAAATATGTACAGTCTCCCCCTCTGTAAGGACATTTCGTCTGTTATATCCAGATCTCGTCCTTGGAGGAAGTGTTCCGAGTATTTCCGCAGAACATCTCTAGGGTCTGTTTATGCGGCTTTATAGAGAGAAAAGAGTTATAAATACAAACTAGAAATTTTTGTTGCAACAGTAACAAATAGGTCTTCCGCTACAAGTGTATCAAGGCAATTCGGTTCCCCATATAATAATAAAATAAATCTTGAATCATATGCGTTTATTATTTTTTTTATTTATTTAAATGATTTAATATCAATATAAGTAATGATGGTCATGGTCATACTATTATTCAAAATTTTAGAGAATTGTGGTCTATAAGATAGTTGACTTTTTCAATGTATTCAAGCGTGAAAGAACAGACAGTATCATCATCATGGATGAAATATAGAACACCAGAAAGATTCTTGGTTGAGGAATGCAAGAAATATGGCGCCCTTTTCAAAGATCTTAAGAAACATTTAAGAGTTGTGCAGAATGTTGCTGCATACAATGCTCCGTCAGATGCTTAAGTTATTACTTTTGTCCCCCACTTATGCAAAAGTGGACTTTAGATCTCTTATGTCTGTCAATTTATCATTCGGACAACCAGTCGGTCTATAACAGTAATTTTTACCTCTGTCATACTTTTCCATTAAAAAAAAGGTAGGGCTTTCATTAACTTGGAAAAGCAGGTTTAGTTATGGCGAGCACTGAAGGAACGCGTCCCCAGACATTACATTGAGTAATGTGCCTTTCATTGCCCTTGGGTTGTCTTTAATCTAATTAGAAATTTATGAATATTGAAAAAATCGCACTGATTATTACTATGAACAATTGGAATGGCAGCTTGTATCTAATATTGTTAATTCGATGACATACGTGGCGAGTCTAAATGGAATGAACGATTTTTTTTTTTGGCGTTACCGTACCTTCTACCAAGCACTTTGAGGACTTTATAGTAAAAGGACGGGTGTCTTTCTACAGCCCCGTTCAAAGTGTTGTAGACGACTGAAGACTGCAAGATTACCAAAAGGAAGAGATCCAAACATGTCCCGGGGGAGAGTGTTAAAACTGTGAGCCATAAGCATGAATAACATAACAAACCCAGGAAAGCAAATAACGTCCTGTTGATTCACCAATGCGCGAAGAGGTGGATGCCAGATTTAACAACTTGAAGAGTTGTGACAAATTCAGTGCAATAGGAAAAACTATTCCAAGCAAGAACCCAAGTGACGTATACTATGTGTGAGAATGTTACAAGTGGAGAGGACTTATATAGGCAGTGCCTGCTGTCCAATCCAGTTATGTTTAATCATAATAAAATATTGTTAAAATTAGAATGTTACAAGAAGTAAACAAATTATATCAGTGTTTTGTGGAACTTTTTTAAGAAGGGGGAATACTTGAAGAAAAGGCATGTAAGTGTAGTAAATATACATTATCTCGGGTTCAGAAATGGTCTACGTGTGTAGTGGTTTAGATTTTTATTTCATAGCCATCGGTTCGTAAATAATATTTTACAAGTATATGCTGATATTTCAGTCAGATTATTCTATTTATCATTTGTTTTCAGTTGTTACTTACGTAAAACCCCTTTATTATTTGTCGTTTATAAGTTAGGACATGAGTTGACATTCCACATGTTTTACTTTTTAAACAGAAAGTGTCATCCATGTTGGCAGTCTTTCCGTAGTACATTTGATAGCTGTGTTCTGATTGGTTAACTTAGCTTTAGGATCTTTGATAGTCATTGGTTTTTATTTTGGGCCTTGCTAGGGTATTTAAACCCGTGTTCGAGCAGTTTACTTCACTTGGTTAGGGATAAGCCTCATGGCTCATTATCTCTGATTTTATGCCAACCTCAAGGTACACGGCATTATAGGTTTCATTTAGTACGTGCTGAGCGAGTACTTTATGATAGGTTAGGATGTAGGTTTTATAGAATAAAGTTATATGATAGGTTAGGATGTAGGTTATTTAAAGTAAATTAAGTTTCCCTTACCATGTCCTGCCTGGTCTAGGGATATGTAGATAACAGGTTTATTTTCTAGAACCACTATTTATTATTTATTTTTGGGTGTTGTTTATATTCTGGGTCAGTTATTTTTAGAACCTAGAATTAGCATTGATATTTTCAGTTCAACTCTAGAGTGTTGATAGTAGTCATATGGGTGATGTAGCTAATTCCTTTTACACTTTTCTAATTCATTCATTTTAAAGGATTTTTGACAACTTTCATAAGTATGGAAGCCCAGTAGGGACATATATTATTTTTCATAGTTTTTCCACATTCCTCCCGTTTTCTATTACATTTTTCAATTACTTATTTATTTATTGAGATTATTCATCGAGATTATTGTGAATCACATACCAGATTAAATTACATTTTTGATAAAGCCCTATTAATCCTGTGCAATTTTCAAAGACTTTTCTGTTTGTTAAATTTTGATTATTATTTATTATTTGTTATCATTTACAAAGGTTAATTCTCACTTTATTAAATTTATAAAACTTACAACTGTGTTTTCATTTAGCGTTGATCATAGGTGGGTTGACAATCATAACTGGAGGCAGTTTACTGCTTTAAGCCAAGTTGGCTATTAACTTTGTTGATTTATCTATTAAAGAGTTCTACTTCTTGTTACATAATTTTTGGTGCCGTGACCAGGATTTCTGAATAGAAACCATGGCTTCGCTAAATTCAAGTTCTGATAGAGTAGGAAGAGCTACATCAACCCCTAGAGTTGATAGGTTAAGATCAAGTCAAGGTGCTAGACCTAAGCTGATGTCAAGAGTCAAACAGCCCTCTTTGTCCTCTCCTGTGAGTGAGATTGATATGCATGAGAGTGAACTAGATACTAGCATGAGTTTACAGGTTTCAGATATAGAACAACTGTTGCAGGACCTCACTACAGACAATGAGAAATGTAAGCATGAGATAGAGAAAACTCTTCGACGCAAACGTCGTGTGTCATTTGCTGAAGGTAATGATAGGGACAGACAAGCAAGTCAGAATAAAGTTGTAAGAGAGACAGTGACTCCCTTAGATAGAGTGAGAGCAACAGAGAGTTTGAGTACCTCACCTGCACAAATAAACTTTGCACAGAGAGACAGAAGTGAGAATCTCAGTAGGTCACAGACAAATATGTCTACACTGCCCAGTACCCCTGTAAATCTTGGTAGACCTAAACGTAGAGAAAAAGAACCAGACAAGTTTGATGGTAGAAATGTAGCATGGCAGGATTACTTAGTTCATTTTGAGCAAGTGTCTAATTGGAATAATTGGTCTCATGAAGAGAAGTCCCAGCAATTAGTTATGTCATTAAGGGGGGGAGGCACAGAAAATTCTAGGTGACCTATCTCAAGAACAAAGAAAAGATTATGACAACTTAACATCCATCTTATCTAGCAGGTTTTGTCCGAAAGAACTAGTTGTTGCACATAGAGTAGATTTTAGATCACGTCTTAGAAAACAGAATGAAAGCCCATCAGATTATGATTTTGCTCTTAGGAGGTTAGGAAACTTAGCTTTTCCAGATATGGCTTATTCTGATAGGGAGATTGTTATTTTAGAGCAGTTTATGAGTGGAATAGGGAATTCTGAAATTAGATCCCATGTCATTTTACACCATCCTAAGACTTTAGAGAGTGCCATTTCACTAGCGACAGAATTTGAGGCAGTTAAGGGGCCGCAACTCTCCATCATTAAGCCAAGTGTTAATAGTGTTAGGACAGATAATGAAACTACACCTGTTAAGACCCCTGATGAATTATCAATCTTAGTTCAAACTCTTGAGAAATGTGTCAACAAAATGGCCAATAGTTATCGGGGAGGTAGAAAACAAACAGGGAAAGTCATAGAGTGTTACAAATGCCATCAATTAGGACACACAGCCAGATACTGTCATACACAAAACACTAGGGATAGGGTAGAGAAAGATAAGACACCCCCTTCTCACACACCATCAGTCAGGGATAAGGAAAACTTCCCAGGGTTGCATTCGAAGCCCACAGTGTGACCCAAAATTCTGTTGACAATAGGGCTACTCAGAAGCTAAGAGTTAGTGTGTTACAAAAGTCCTGTTTAAGTGTAGGCTGTACTGTAGAAGAACATGTAAATAAGTTTTTAGTCGACACTGGTTCTCAGGCTTGTTTGATAGACAAAGATGTTTTTATGACTTTTGAGAATAGACCCCCTTTGAAAACTTGTGTTTTGTCATTAACCACAGCAGATGGTAGTGCTATGAAAGTGTTAGGAAAAGTTGATTTAGAGTTTAGAATAGGAGATAATTTGTTTTGTCATGAGTTTATTGTTACCTAGTTAGGAGACTTGTGTGGAATCCTTGGGATGGATTTCTTGGAGAACAATGATGTGACAATTCAAGTTTCTAGGTGTCTCATGTTGATAGGTGGTCAGCATATTCAGTTAGAGAGGGAGACAACTCCTATTTGTGCTAGAGTCAAGGTAGCAAAGAACATAGTTATTCCCCCTGATTGTGAAGTTTTTGTACCAGGGTACGCTGTAGGTGATTTGGAAATAATTTGTTTGAGCCGTTCAAGTTTTTAAATCAAAAGGGTCTGTTAGTTGCTAGAACTTTAGTGAATCCTGACAAGATTTTATTTTCTGTTGTAAATATTTCAGACAAGGCTGTTAGGATCAATAAACACACAACAGTGGCTTCTGTACAGCAAGTTGACATTGTAGAGTCTGATAAGTCTATAAGTGATCTAGTTTCTTCAGAACTCCCTGAACATTTGCGATCATTGTTCAATAGGTCTTGTGAGAGGTTATCTGGAAAAGAGAAATCTCAGTTGTTAGAATTACTGATACAGTATCAGGATATCTTTGTTGGACCTGATGGTAGATTTGGGAGAACAAATCTTGTGAAACATAGTATAGATACTGGTGATTCTAAGCCTATTAAAATCCCACCTCGTAGACTACCTTATGCTCAGAGAGAAATTGTAGAGAAGGAGATTTCAAAGATGCTTGATAATGATGTTATAGAACCTAGTGATAGTCCTTGGTCAGCTCCCTTGTTGTTAGTTGCTAAGATGATTGATTGATTGTATGTTGTTTTACGTCCCATTCGAGCATTTTTCACTCATATAGAGACGTCACCATATACCGGTGAAGGGCTTCAAATTTTGACCTTTACTCGGCACTCAGGGCCATTGAGCAGTGAGGGATCTTTATCGTGCCAACGCCTGCCGTGACACGGGGCCTTGGTTTTTAAGGTCTCATCCCAAGGACCATGCAACTTTCACTTCAAAGTGCCGAGCGCATGGCGAAGGAACAGTTGCTACCCATTTTATCGACTTAGGTCTGTCGCGGCCGAGATTCGAACTCACGACCTCCCGATCACGGAGCGAGCGCTCTACCGACTGAGCTACCGTGAACGGTTAGTTGCTAAGAAAGATGGTTCTTGGAGATTTTGCGTAGACTATAGACAACTTAACTCAGTAACTAAGAAAGACGCTTATCCATTGCCCCGCATAGATGAGTCACTTGATTCTTTGGCTGGAGCTTCCTGGTTCAGTACACTAGATTTAGTTTCTGGGTATTGGCAGATGGAAATCTCAGATAAGGATAAACCTAAAACAGCTTTCTAAACTCATATGGGCTTATTCCAGTTTAAAGTAATGCCCTTTGGCATGTGCAATGCCCCTAGTTGTTATGAGAGGTTAATTGAGTTAGTTCTTAGAGGTCTCAGATGAGAGAAATGTTTATTTTATTTAGATGACATCATTGTGTTTGGAAGTAGTTTTGACCAAGCTGTGAAGAATCTTAAGCTTGTGTTCGATAGACTCAGGTCAGCAAATTTGACCTTGAAACCCTCAAAGTGTATACTATTCCAGAAAGAAGTGTCATTTTTAGGTCATGTGGTGTCTGATAAAGGAATTCAGTGTGATCCTAGTACAATTGACAAAGTTAAGAAATGGCCTGTACCTAGTAATGTCACAGAGGTTAGAAGCTTCTTAGGCTTAGCAGGATATTATAGGAGGTTTATTCCTGAGTTTTCCACCTTTGCAGCCCCTTTAACATATTTGACAAGAAAAGGAAAGAAATTTTGTTGGACTTCTGATTGTCAGAAATCATTTGAAAAACTTAAGGAACTCCTTTGTTCAGCTCC